TCACTTTTTACACCTTTACCGCATGTTTTCGGTACGTTTCGGTAAGAATAAACAATTTTCAGCTCTTGAAAAAAAATTTTCCGTTACGTAAAATCATCAGTTAAACAACTATTGTATTTAACTTTTTTCGATGAAACGCCACATTTCTGAAGTATTGTGAGATAACTAAAAAAAAAAAATCGGTTTTCAAAGTTATTTTGAAATAAAAAAAGGTCTTCCTGACCAGGTTCATTCTAACTTTTTTAAAGGATCATTATATGGACAACGATCTATAGTTTTTGTGAGATTTCGCTAAATTCCATCCAACAACGAAATGAAAACCTCTAGCTTCCCGAGTATTATGCTTTTTCAAGAATCATAGGTGCTTTGTCTCAATTATCACTTGTACTTAACATCATTTTTGTTTATTAACTCAACCTAAAGAACTCACTTTCTAAGATGCTCAAGTCAAAAGAAAATCCAAACTAGCCATTCCCCTCAGAAATTTTTCCATTTTTACCAGGACCATCGATCAAAGAATTTTTTTTCTCAAATTAAATTTTTTTAAAAATTCATACACTTTTGTCTATGCTCCAATTTGTGGTCAATCTTATAATATCATTAATTTTTAAATGTAATTCATGTAATACAAGACTTTTCAGTTTTGTTTAAAAATGCTATTGAATTTTTTATTGAGATTAATTTTTATACAGTTTTTTAATAAAATATCATTAATAGATATATAAATTTAAAATATTCTTACTTACCCATTTGTAAAAACCATGAAAGTATCGAGGCTGCTCATTTTCATGAGTCACCTCCCAGAGCTCTATCGAATAATGAAGAAACAGAGCTTCCCTAAACCTTCTCCAAATTAGATTTAAAATATTAAATTTGTGTACAAATTCTAACAATTAACTTAAATATATAATTTATTATTGTGTATGTCTCTTCCATACCTTCAGCTAGTCTCTATTTAACCTCTCGGCTTGAACGTGTCACAAAAACACTTAAAATATATTTTTTTTTTTTTGTCACAATCAAGTTTCCATGTATCTTCAATTTTTAAAACCAAAAATATAAATTTATTTATAAAAATCATGTGAAAATCCTGTGTTAATATGTTTATGTATTGAAAAAAATTTATCTCAACATATATAAAAGAATCTCGTAAGTTGTAAGTTACACTGAAAGCTAACTCGTTCAGTTATTGCAGAAATTAGTTAAGGGTTTCTAGGTATAAATGAAATTTGATGTATCAATAATATATTGTATTTTTGTTTATTGTAAATCAAAACAAATTATAACAAAAAAAAGATGTGACTTACAGCATGTTTCTTTCTTCTAGAGGCATATTATGAAGATGCCGTATTATGCTGAAGTACTGTTAGAGAACTCCATGAATTTAATACTAATGATTTATACAAGAGTAAATATGCATGAGTTAACATGCAAAAACTAGGTATTTAAAAAAATTTTCTTTCTACCTTTTTACCTCTTCGGTACGATTAACCCACAGTTCTGACTTCTAATACTTTATGCCTTGTTCTTTTAATAAACAACTTTTTAATTTTCGAGATTTAGTTACAAAGTAGATTATTTTATCTTTATGGTTTTTTTTACATGTGGTGCAAAGTTTCAAACAAGGTTTTGTTCATTCTAGTAACCAATGTGCTCTGATATTTTAACTGTCGATTCATTGGGTCTGATTTAACCATATATTTCAACCTGTATATAAATACTTACGTTTTAAATTAATGTGTGATGTGTGACTAGGTGAATTGAAAATACATTTAAACACGTCACAGAGCGCCCTGGTCATCGGCAATAAGTGGCGAGCGTGTGGTAGGTAGCTCTCTCTCTCTCCTGCATGTGGCTTGCTGAAGAGTACGAAATTCCGGTATCAGGCCCGGAGGCCATAGCAGCAAAAGTAACTATAGAGCTCGGTCTGACTCTCTTTCCGTTCGTCCTATACCCGTAACTTAAAGATGTGTGTGTGCAACGTTAAGATAATGTATCTGTGAACGGCAGCTATCGGTGTGTCGGTGTCCCGGGAGCAGACGTCGTGCTGTGTTGGCTGATAGTGTGTGCTGGGCCGCATTGTATACGCTACGCCTGCGCGGCGAGACAAGGACAGACACTTAAGCTCTCTGTAAGGCTGGCACCGGAGCATCACGGCACGGCCTCAGCAGACTCTCGCCTGCCGAGTTACTGCGACGTCGTGAAGCCGTGACCCAAGTGCTATACACACACACATACACACACGAGCTAGCCCTCACACGGTCACCCAGGTTCCTCGGTGCCCTCGATGCTCGTAGCATTGCCTGGAGCATCACCAAGCACTCCACTGGAGCAATATCCTGGTATGTGAATATACATAGAGTTGGTGCTGTGTATCGCGTGCGTGAAAATAGTTGTCCCTAAATACCCTTCCCTAATGCCATATAGAGTCAGCCCGAGTCCCTTATCGCTAGTTACCAGGTGAACGACACCACGATATACTAATTAGTGACAACAGCAAGCCACAACACAGGAATCGTCGCCTTTGTGCCAGACAGCATTTCCGTGGTTTTTAGTTTTACGTGGTTTTTGTCAAGTTCCACAAATTCTTTATATAATAATAAATTAAAACTAAAGTGTATCTAAGCATGCTTTTTATTCTAGTTGCAATTACGTGTGTATTATACTCCAATATTTTAGTGCTTCTACCACAACATCATCAGGGATAATTACTAAAATAATAAAAAAAAATTATTAACACAATTACTAAATCAGGCGCACTTTCGTCGAAAATAATTATTTATGATGCGGTTGCAAGTACCGATAAAAAGACCTACGTGCCGCCGACCACTTAGTTACTACACACTGTGTATTTCATAATTAAAAGTTAAAAATGACAAAATATTGCACTAAACAAACAATTATTAAGAACTAAACAAAAAAAACTGAGATTCGCAGCAATGTTGACAAAAGAGCCAGTTACAAGTCTATATTTACGGCGTATATAATATATAGACAAAAAGCCCGTCTTAGTTGCAAGACCATATCTACAATGTGTAAAGTACCAAGAGACGAAACATGGTTTCCAAAAGAGCATGGTTCCACATGTAAATTAAACATAATAACTAGTAATGGCGTGATACACGTATACAGCATGTGAAAGTTCAAAAATTTTAAATAATTTTTGTTTAATGATTTTATGTGTAATATTATCAAAAAATGGTTTATTTTCACCTTAAAACTTATGAAAGTCAGTCCTCTTGCTAACATTTTTATTGTTAACGATTATATTTAACATCTTGGATAATCCGCGTTTAAACCTATTTTTTCCTGGTCCAATATCTATGACTGATCATAGTTAAATTCAAAATGGCCGTCTTGCACATGTACAGTCAATGCCTATCTGGTATCCTCACTTCTGCCATCCTATCATGTTCCGCCATGCGAACATCGATTACTCCCCCCGAAATATGAGAAACCAAATCTTGAAATAATTCTGTACACAATGTTATTAATCGCTGGAGTTGGAGTCCTATCCTTCCCTTAGTGATATCCATCATCTTATTATTATCAGAGAAAATTAACTTAATATTGAACTTACACAAAACATATTTTTACAAAATTGATTATTAATTTTGACACATGAGCAAGTGGTGGGCGTTTTAATGAATATAATTTTGAAAATGAGAATAAATATTTCTATATATTTTATTTAACGGTTAAAATATCACAAGCGGATGAGTAGTAACAAAGCAAAAAAGAGTGTAATAAATCTGAATACATTTTATTTGCATTAAATTTAATATTGAGATTTTCCTATTGGAACCTGTAGATAGTGCAAGAGGTCGAAATCTCCCTAGTATTTAAAAATGTGTCGTGGTTTATGGAGGTTGGTAATAAAAATCGTGTCGGAGGTAAGGATTGTTGGGGGTCAAGAAAACTTGTGCTCAATGTCTGTTGGAGGCTGTTGGAAGTCCTGACAAAAATTTTTATAAGTTAAAAAAAAACGGAAAAAAGGACGCTATTTGTCTATATTTGAAGTAAGGTGTGAATGGAAATTTGTAGAAGGTCGGTGGCCTGGCTTTAGGTGGTTGTGTGGTATGCTTAAAGCAAACAACTGTGTAATAATGGTATATGTACGTACACCTTCATGACTAGTCGTACTTGTTAACAGTGTTGTATCACAAAATGCTCATTAAACAAATTTTAGAGAAATCACTACCTTCTGTAAGAAATAATTTTAAGTGTCAAATAGTTGTAGAACCGTTAATGTGAAACTAAAATTGGAAAAAAACATGAATTTTTAAACTTATTTGCTCTTTTGTGCCTTACTGCAAAGAAATAAGGAAAGAGAGCCAAAAAGAAATAGTCGTTATGTGTATCTCTTGAGCATTAGGATTTAAATTTTTAAAAGTAAATTAATCATTTTTTCTTGATGGCCTGCTTTTTTCATGAAAAACGTAACTTTTAGTCCAAATTTTTCACAAAACTTTTTATTGGACTCCGAATACGTTTTAATTATTACTTTAATCATAAATATATATCAAAACTAATAGAATTATTCTTTGACAAGAGAGAAAGTGAGAGTGATGATGAACATAAGAACGATAACTGTTTAGTTAAAGTTTACAATGACAATGAGTTCTTATTTCAATCATTATTATTAGAAATAATGATTATTATAGTTTTAAATACTCAAGTTATATTATTACTGTTGTAATTATTGTTGTTATNCTATTATAATTTGTATTTTTATTATTATTAGCTCTATCATTTTTGTTAGTAAAGTGTACTGCTATTTTTATATTTTGAAAGAACTTTTATTGGAAGCTATTGTAAAGTAGAAACTTTAATAAATATTTTAATGTATGAAAACTATACTTATTGATATTTAACAGGCGAGGTTTATATTTTATCATTTATTATATTTTAAGTAACTGTAATTATGTACCATTTTAGTGGTATTATGATACTAAGATACGTTGTATTACTACCATATTGAACATTTTTTTATATTTCAGAAATTGGAATTTTTAAAAGATGAAGATTCTTGTACGAAGAAATATAGTGCTAGTAACTTGAACACAGATTATTTCCGAGACCAGTTATTACCGTACTTGAAGGATAACGAATTCGATGAAATATGCAACTGGATTCAAGTAAGTATCTGCTTTTAAGCTGGTTTTTTTTTCATTTTATATGTAGTTAAAATTTAAGTTGAACTAAAAATCATCCTTCTCTTTTTTGTATGTTTAATAATTACATCTAAAAATAAAATTCAAGCAAATTAGAGGAATTGTAAGGTGAACAATCCATAAATAACCTTACTATTTAGCAAACTTGGTGTGAATTTTCATTTTTACTTTGTTGTACGTATTTTAACCAGTATACTTATAATAAACAGTAAAATATCATACCATTATGCACCGTACGCTTCACTTATCAATAAATTTACTGTAGTCCATTTCATTAATAATGCACTACAGACTGTTTCACAAGTTTTCTTACAACATTTTTTCAACGTTTAGATACGATTGATTAGTTATTTTTAATAGCACATTTAAGTGTTTTTGCATTATGAGAAGTAAACTAAAATACTCTGAGAAAGTTTTTTTTGTTTTTACTTTTTTAATTTTTTAAATGTGTAACAAATAGAAAGAAAAATCAATACACTATTATTGCATTGTAAAAGCACGTAAAGCTAATTTTAAAACAGTTTTATTTTATTTTGAGGGCTTATAAATTATGTATCTCTAATAATTAAATAAAAAACAAAGATAATTTCAAAAAATATTTACTTTTGTCTCTTAGTCAAGGCAAGAAAATTAACCATGTGCTAGACAGTATAATATTTTTCTTGTAACAGTAAATATAATTTTATTAAATTGTTGATTTAAAACTCTTTTCTTTGGAATCAAGGTGCAGAGTATTAAATTCTGAAGAAACAAAAAAAATATTCAGTCGTTTTTTAATCAATCATGAGAGGGAAAAGCCATGTCGTGCGTAGCGGTCTCAAGGCTGAACCGATTTCTGTTGCCTTTATTCTTCAAGAGTTTTTCTTTACATTATCTCTAACTTCCTTCCATAGCTTTTCCTCCCTATAGCTACTGGTCTCCTGGTGGATACAGCAGCATAACCTAATCGTAGAAGTAAAAGAAGTACCGAACGTCATCCTTATTTCTCCTTCACATGCACTGCTCTGTATTTTTTTCGTGTGAATAATATATTTACGTTGCGTTTTTTTCTTTTTTGATATTGAATCAGTACGAGAAAAATTTTAACAAGTTATACCTGATTTGTGCTTCTACTTTTATTCATTTGTAGATTACTCTTTTTTTTATTTTTACAATATTTTTTAAGTAGCATTATTTTCATTCTACATTTTTACATATATGTTATTATTAATTAAAATTTTTCTTTCAGAACAAACAAACGTTACAATAGCAATTAAGTGAATGAAACTATAAATATCATAATTCTATTGCACTCGGTTCAATTATTGTAGTACTTCCTAGCATTTATAACTTATGTTAACATTCAGTATTTTCCATTCAACTATTTTTCAACTGACCTACTTTCATACCCCGTATTGACAATGTTGATGTAAGCTTCTGTTATTTCTTATTTATACGTAGATGTATTTTCTCCGAGAATATATCTAGAGGGGATCAAACGATATGCACCAGTGCCCATGGTGTCGATTGAGTGAAACACAGGGGACACCAGTGCATCAAATGCACGTAGTTTGTAAATATCTTTAAATATTAAAAAAAGGAAGCATTTAACAACGATATTAAAAGCGTAATATATATAGTAAATTGGATTATTAGTAAGTGCCTTATTATCCCATACCAACCAGTGCTGGTATTATGTCATTACACCTGCTAAAATTTTGATAAACTCAGGCAAGAACTGTGCGTTGCGTCTGCTTAACCATATATATATAGCAACACTGAGAGCAAAACACCGAGCAGATGCACCGTTTGGATAGACTGTTTAAGATATATATA